CCGAATCCAACAAGGAGTTTCCTTCTGTAATCTCCTATTTAAGGAGCTACGAATTGAAGTAAAAGCATTCAGTTTTCAATCAAGAAAGGTGTTAGAAGAGTTCGGGTGATCTCTTGGACAAATCACCCACGCGATTGCCACAATAGGGTCTGTATGCAAGGGCAAGGGCAAGGGAAGACAGGAGCCTCTCCCGGTGGACCGACCCATGACGAGATCCTACGCGCGGGCCCATAACATTTTGGTATCAGAGCCTACCGTCATGGGGAACAAGAGCCGCTGTCTTCCAAGGTCCACGAACTGGAACACAAACTTGCAGAGACAAGCATGGAGGTACGTGAGGTCAAGGATGATGTCCGAGAGCTTCGACGCTTGCTGGAGACATTCTTAGCCAATAAGGAAAGAAACTCAGAAGGAACCGCCACCAACAACAGTCGCAGACCGGACTGGGTAGAAACGCCTGACGAACATCAGACGGCCACCCCCGACTGCCGCTGTTATCCCCAAATACAGTCGACTAGAATTTCCGTCCTACAACAGCGCTGGAGACCCACTGGGATGGTTGCACCGCTGCGAACAGTTCTTCCGCAACTAGCGCACCGATGACAGAGACAAGGTCAGTCTGGCTGCTTTCCACCTCACAGAAGAGGCACAGCTCTGGTTCTACCGTCTAGAGCAGGAAGAACCCGGGCTTAGTTGGGAACAATTTAAATCCTATTGCCTCCTCCGGTTTGGACCCCCGCTGACAAGCAACCCGCTGGGCGAACTGATCAACCTCAAGCAGACCGGGATTGTGGCGGATTATCAGCGCCAATTCCAAACTCTTCTCGCCAGAGCAGCCTCGGTACGCCCAAACCAGCAAGTCGACATGTTCACAGCAGGGCTAGTGGAACCCCTAAGGGTGGACGTCGAGATGCAGCACCCCTCTAACCTAATCACTGCTATGAACCTTGCACGTGCCTTCGAAAGAAAGATGCAGATCTCCCACGGGAGCTTCAGTATAGGACGGCCGACACCAACATGGACGCCTCCGAAGATAGCAGGAGTGACTCCCTCTTCGATCACCAGCAGAGAACCAAGGCTGCCTGCGGGAAACCCCTCCAAATCAGCATCAAGCAT